CCGGTAGAGGACTATGGTACGGCCGACCCTTTACTAGCTGAAGGCCATCTCCTAGACGAGATATTGCGGCGCAGTCCACATTTTATTCAAGGGAAAGGATTTGAAAGCAGCAGAGAACCTCGCTATTAACTATTCTCTTTCAGGAGAGGGGTGACATCGAGGGTCTTCGGAACTACCGCCAGTACGCTTATTGTGCGTATTACAAGCACTTCAATTGGATCATAGAGCGAGCTGGATTTTGTAGAAAATTTGGCTGCGTGAATCACATCAAGGCTGTCACACCAAGGAAAATTGTCGAGGTCTTCCGGAAGTATCGCCTACCTCCTAACCCATCCTTTGGTGACTATATAAAAGTTTGACGACTCGGACCCCTTTTCAACTCCATGCTATCAGCTCAACTAAGAAGCGGACCCGTCTTTCCTAAGGACATTGGTTGATACAGCAGGAAACTGTTCTACAATACGGCGTTTCCATCGACGCGTCGCCGAAACTGTTGCCCTCCATGTTGCAGCGATGATGCACTGGATTGAAATGAGATATAAGAGATGATAAGAAATTCTCTTGACTTTCTTTGCGGGCAACATTGTTCTCTTCTCGAGGAACATTACTGAAGCATAGAGATATTGAAAGAACTAAACGGAGTAAGAAAGCGGATAGGATGCAAACAAACCGAGGAGAAAACAGTTCATGAAGAACTCTTTTGCGAGATTGCGGAAACATCTTCTTACGTAAATCTCGGGAATTCGATAAATATGAATGTTCTGTAAAAAGAATAAACAGGAGGTGGAGGGCAGCGGGTCGCTTTCGGACCCTTAAAGAAAGCCACATAGGGACCTAAACCTCCGAGCCAATCTGTTCAATTCGATCCTTCTCTCAACGCTCTGTTACGAAGAAGAGACGTGGTCTGACCCTGTGACTACGTCAAAGGCTTTGCAAATAACTCACAGAGCGCTGGAACGACGACTTCTGGAATAATCCCAAAATTTCGTCGGACTCCGCAGCACAGATATGAGACCAATGTCTCGTCTTTGCGATCGAGCGGAACACGTTTCTAAAGCAAAACATCGGCTTACTAGTCATATAATGAGAAGGACAGATGACAGATAGACAATAAGGAATTTGGAATGGATTTCTCGCGAAGCAAAACGTCCTTGTGGACGAGATGAGGCTACCGGCCAGATAAACCGACGTGGCCGCTGGGTGGATCAGCTGAAATCTAGGTAACTAATGCACCTGAACCTCGCAACGCTGCCGCCTCACTTCACTACCAACATTGTAGATGACGCTACGGAGAGATTGAAACGGATGAAAACAATGCTGGGGCCTGCATGATTAGTGAAGACAGTGTCTAAGTATCTAAGCTATGTGAGTAGGGCCAAGCTTGATACACTTCTCGAAAACAAAGTTCGACAAAAGTTGCGAAAAGGAGAGATAGAAGTAAGCGACAGTAAACTTTTCTGATATCCTGATAGCTGCACTATTTTATATATATA